GCCTTGACCTAGAATCAAAGACTCAGGTATGAAAGGAAATCATACAAACCATCCACTTTTTGAGGCCCCTGTACAATGGCCCCCATTGAATCCAGTCTAGTGACAAAGAGCTCATTACTTCTCAATGGAGCTACCTCATCACTGGACATCTACAATGATCAGAAAATGCTTCTTTATTTAGACACTCAAAAGACACTGCTTATTAGCATCAAGCCCCTTTATTTTATTTCTTACCATGAGATTTATAAGATTGAGAAGGTCAAGCAGGGCCATAGTATGTTCCAAAGGAAAAGAAGAAAGGAGAATCTAGTGATTTGGTAACTATTAGGTCATAGCCTTATTTTGGGGAAGTAAAATATATTTTAAATTTTCAATGGGATTTAATCCAACTTAGTGGTCAGAGTCAAGCTATAGTTAGGAACAGAGTGTACTTACATCTGGAAACCTCTGTAATCTCATCTCCTTGAAAACTGTTATAAGCTGTTATAGCATCATAAGCTGTTGGAAATCAAACCATTTGGTGAGGGGGAATGAAATCTCAACACCCAAGAGACTTGATTATCAAAGTATCCATCAATATTCCTCTTAAAACAATCTCCATTCAGAAACGAGTATTAATTTGTTCTGTTGGGATTATTTTTCAAATCCTCATTTGCTTTCTCTGTGACAAGCCTCTCATTTCTCCCATGTACACACATCTTACATAAATCCTAAGTATTCCATGTAGGGAGCAATTATTTTTATCTGTTTTTTTTTTTTAAGATTTTATTTATTTATTTGACAGAGACACAGTGAGAGAGGGAACACAAGCAGGGGGAGTGGGAGAGGGAGAAGCAGGCTTCCTGTGGAGCAGGGAGCCCGATGCGGGGCTCAATCCCAGGACCCTGGGACCATGACCTGAGCTGAAGGCAGACGCTTAATGACTGAGCCACCCAGGCGCCCATATTTTTATCTGTTTTTATATCATCAATAAATGTTAATAAAAGTAATCATTCCCTAACTACTTGACTAAGGAGTCTCATTTTCTCAGATAATCATTTTGCCATTAACTGAGATTGAGTTCTTAACATCTTTGGTTTCATGGATGGGTTTTGGGGGAGTCCGTGAACCTTCTGATATATGTTAAATTTTTTCTATAAGTGCACTTCTCTTGGAAAGATTTCCAGAGCTTTCATCCAATTCTAAAAGAGTCTATGTCCCTAAAATGTTAAGAATCACTGGTTTAGAGAGTGAATATGTGGTGTGAATCTTTAAAGTCGAAAATCTATATTTTCCGGTTATGAATTAATCATGTATTCTTGTGTTAAGGAATCTTTTTAATAGATCCAAATGCTTTTGGACATTAAAAATCATTTATAATCTTCTTTATTCTGCAGGCCATATTCATCATAGTGTATTTTCAATGTATAAGGGATACTCATTCTCATTTAAATAAAAAATATAAAATATAAATAAATATATATATTTCATCTATATGTATGTATTTTTTTTCTTACAGAGAAAGCATATGCTACTGCTACAAGAATCCTGAATGGAATCTGAAGATTCTGCTCAGAACCCAGTTTTAGCACTGACTGGCATATATGACCTTGAGCAAAATCATCTCGGCTCTTGGGAGTTTTGTTATGTTATATGGAAATGTTTAAATGCTGCTTAATAATGTTCACTGTATGATATATATTTATGTGCAGATTTCAGCTCAGTACCTCTGAAAGAGTATGGGGCCCACCTAGACTTTTCCAGTATGTAAAGGACAATCTGTTGTCTCTGTCATCAGGTGCTTATTTGACTAATAGTTGTCCAAATGTCATCATGCCATTATTCTCCAATGTGTATGGCCAGCTGTGCCTATAACTTTCTATCAATTTTTCAACAGGTTGAGGTAATATGACTTGTTATTAACATTTTCCTTAATCTTGTTAGGCAGTTGCTTGAGAAATTTGATAATGCTGCTTTGTCTTAAAATCTTCCAAAATAGCTATGAGGATTTGAGACAAAAGTGGACACGACAGTACCTCTGGAACATTACAGTTTAAACCACCTATAAAGTGTTAATGCACAATTTTACTGTGAATTTAATAACTGTTCAACTAACTTCTGTCATTTTCACTTTCTTACTTATATTTAAATTATCATACATAAAATACAGAATTTATATTTTTGCATGTTTTAGTGATTTCATATAATTTTTTAATGAGGCAGTCAATATGGTGGAGTACTCAATATAGGGTCTTTGAAGCCAGATGGAGATCTAATCTGGCTCTATCCTTTGCTGGCAGTGTAGCCTGGCCTGTTAGTTGGTCTTTCTGAGCTTCAGTTGTTTTTCCTTTGGAAACAATAGGTACACAATAAATGTTAATCATTCATTTATCCATTCATTTAGAATGCTGTGCACCAAGAACTCTGTAAAATAGATCACTGTGCAACTCTAATCTTTATAAGGAAAGGTTCAAAACAATTTGAGTTTTGTTGCACCTATTAATAGCTGGCACATGGGAAACTCTCAATAGATATTGGTTGGGTTAATTAATTAATTAATTATATGATGAGTATCTTTTAAGCTACACTGACTCCAAATTCCATCATCTAGCCATTTGGTATAATTAATACATAGATATTGCCCCTCCTCTGTGACTACATCCATTCTAAAATTACTTACTATGCAGGGCGGTGCCAAGGATCGCTCTATTCACCATTACTGCCCTCCCACTATTACCCCGTTATTCTGACATCCTATCCTCTAATAAAATCCTGCTGCTTCCACCACTAACCAACACCATGTAGTGGTGTCTGGTATTTTATACCTGTCAACACTTTCTAATCATTACAGATTTGATAGTTATAATATAGGAATTTATGGACATGTTAATGAGCATTTCTCAAGTGCAGATAGGATGGGGCATACTTTATTGCGTATAAGTATTTTTGATGAACTGGTTGTTCATGTACTTACCCATTATTTAAATATTCAATTGTTCTTTTCTTATGAATTTGTTACATTTATTTATTTATTTTAATCTGCTCCTTTTGGAATAGGTCAATAGTGATTAAAAAGAATCATTGCATAACTCAAAGGAGGGACAGGCTAGTTACCGTTCTCCCACTTAAAAAACAAAGGATTGGCTCCTTGCCTTGTCAAACTCTCTTGCTTTAGACAGGCATTTGTTCTTTGCTTAATTGCCACCAGCCTCAGCTCTCCTGGAGGCTCATGATTCCCCACATTTTATAGTCACCACAGCATAAATCAACACACACTGAACATTTTGGAATTTACAAACATTCACAAGGGCCAATATCCAGGAATGGGAAACTGACTGAAAAATCTTACACAACGAGTCATTATTTTGGGTTATTACAGTGGTATTTCTATTTCAGGCTTAAGAGAAACCACATAACTTGCTGGTCACTGTCCTGAGAGCAAAAGCTGCAAGTGTCACAGAAAAATGTGAATTACATTATCAGATTTGGTTGATTTTCCAAGGTAAAATACGGGTGGTTAATGGTCACTTATTTATGTGCTATACAATCTGGAAAAGGGATCATTTATAGGCAGGCTTAAAGTTTTTTGTTGTAAAAAAAAAGAGTCTATTTTAGTTTTTATTTTTTAAAAGAGAAAATAAAAGACTTTTATTCTTTATGTTTACCTGGTATTTTGTACCCAGTATTTATACAGTGTAGGAAGAGTTTATTAAATCAGAGGTAAATAAAGGAAACTAAGACATAAGTTCAAAGCAGTTTACCTGACAGAAACACTTTTTAAACTAGATCTACTTTATATCTTTTAATCCTTTACATGTGTATAATATCATATAGTGCTTTTGCACAATTAACTTCAAGTGATCCTTCCTTTATATCTTTCCTCCAATTGATAATTAAACCAAGACTCAGAGATGTTTAAGTAACTAATACATGACAGACATAAAACTAATAATAACAAAATAATAATAATGGCCTAGTTTATTGAGCAGTTACCTTATTTCAGGCCCTCTGATGAGGGTTTTCCATTTAATTTGTCATTTAATTCTCACACTTAGCCAGAGGATTATTATTACTACTCCTACTTTCATTTTATAGAAGGGTTCAGCTAGTAAATGTCAGAGTCATTTTAACCCAGGTAGTCTGATTCCAGAGCCCTCCCATCTTTTTAATCATGATGCTATACAGTCTACTTCCCAGTGCATATTTATTATTTTTTTCCCTTTTCTTCTCCCACCTCACCACCTTTCTTCCTCCTTTTACCATTAATGCTGAGAAAAACAAACATAAAAACATAACCCCACAAAACCCTATAATCATCTCAATAAATGCAGAAAAGGCATTTGGCAAAGTACAACATCCATTCATGATAAAAAAAAATAAAACTCTAAACAAAGTAGATTTAGTGGAAATATTTCTCAACACAATAAAGGCCATATATGAAAAACCCACATCTAACATCACACTCAATGGTGAAAAACTGAGAGTTTTTCCTCTAAGATTAGGAAGAAGACAAAGATGTCCACTGTCATCACTTTTATTCAACACAGTATTGGAAGTCCTAGCCATAGCAATCAGACAAGAAAAAGAAATAGAAGGCATCCAAATTTGTAAGAAAGAAGTAAAGCCTAAACTATTTCCACATGACATGATACTATATGTAGAAAACCCTGAAGACTCCACCAAAAACCTACTAGATCTGATAAATGAATTCAGTAAAGTCAGAGGATACAGAATTAATATACAGAAATCTGTTGCATTGCAGATTGAAAATGCACTAATAATGAAGTAGAAAGAGAAACTAAGAAAAAATCCCATTTATAATTGCACCAAAAATAATAAAATACCTATTAATAAATTTAACCAAGGAGGTGAAAGACCCGTACTCTGAAAACTATAAAGCATGAATTAAAAAAACCCCATAACTCCACAGATAGGGTTAGGATTAGGGATTCATGCTTTCCCCCATTAGCAGTATTAATTGTAATGGGATACAGAGTGGACAAATTTTTCCAGCAACTTACAAGATCCAATGCAGCTGCCAGGATGGATGCATCAGGAATTGTCCCTGGCTCACAGCAGTTTAACAGAAACTGAAAGCGCTTCATGCCTTGTCGGATTGCTCCAAGATTCACCACATTTTTGCTTTTTCCACCATCTTGGTTGGATGAGAGATGGTCATCAAAACTGTGGCAACCTGTAGGTTTTTTCCCATGGTGGAGGAATAAAAGAAACAGTATAATAGGTCACAGATTAAAAAAGAGCTTCAAAGTTATAACAACATGTTTTCTGTAGGGTTGGCCTGAAAACTTTCTCCCTGACTCCACCTCCTTCCTTTCCATCCTAATGCCTGATTTAGACACACCATGACTTTTGGGAATCTGGTGACACATGGCATATGCAAATACAGAATTTTACATAAATACTTAAATAGAGGATCTGATCATTTTGCTACCAGGTCTCCTCTTTAATACTGGCAAGAGCTCTTAGTATATTTAAAATGATTCTTCCTGTAATCAACAACTAATTTCTATTTTTATTAAAGATGGAATCATTTTACAATTTTGTATCTGTTACATAAATTAATATCAAGGCCAGTAACTTGATATCTCAGTTACAATACAAAGAATCATTGACTATTGGAGTTGTAAAGAAGCTTAGAATTTGGTCATTTAATTCCAGGATTTCCAAACTTGGTTATATATTAGAATTACCTAGGAAGTTCCTGAATTTCATCCAGACTTTCAGAATCAGAATTTTAAAAAGTGGAGTATAAGAATTTGTGCTTTGCAAACCTCCCAGAAAGTAATGATGCAGCCAGCCTTACCCAGCACTGTGGTTAGAGACTTGGGAACCACTGATCCCTCCATATCCTTATTTTTCCATAGTTATGCTGCCTATGAATAAGAATCAGCCTGGAGCTTATTAAACACAGAATGTCAAGTCTCATCACTAGAGATTTTGATTCCATGTCTGGGGACTATGGATGTTTTAACAAACATTCCCTGTGATTTATTGATGCAGAAAGTCTAAGGATCATACATTAAGAAAAAAATGATACAAAGCATTGTTTTTCATCATTTTTATATCCTAGGTACATTTTCAAAAGCCTAAATATCTCCTGACTTTTCTATAGCTTCTAATATATATTTAAAATTTGTTTCTTATTTGAGGGTATTATGTTGAATGTTGTTTTTAAAACCCTACTCAAACCCCTTCTCATGATTCTGAAATGTACCTCTGACACCTAAGAATATACCCCTAGGATGAGAATCACTGACTTAGAGCTTGCTTTGATTTCTGCTCACACCATTCATTTGTGGTTACCAACTCCTGGTTCTCACTGAGAAGTCACAGATGACTTTCCCATATCTTCTGTTATGAATACCCTGATCGCTTCCACCCATTACCCTACTTTCCTACCTGCTGTCTCAGCACAAAGGCACATGTATATATGTCTGGGATTTGTTTTAAAAACATTTAAAAAGCATAAATGATAGATGAAACAATTATGGAAATTTTGATCATTATTGCAAATGGGTGATGGATATTCGGGATTCGTTAGACCATTCTTTTTACTTTTTGTCTGTTTGAAAATTTTCGTAAGTACAAAAAATGCCTCATAATATAGTTAAAATATAATTGGGGCGCCTGGGTGGGTCAGTCAGTTAAGTGTCTGCCTTTGGCTCAGGTCATGATCCTGGGGTCCTGTGATCAAACCCCAGGTTGGGCTCCCCACTCAGTGGGGAGTCTGCTTCTCCTTCTCCCTCTGCCCTCCCCCCTGCACCTTCTCTCTCTCTCTTGCTCACTGTCTTTCAAATAAATAAATAAAATCTTAAAAAATATTATTAAAATTTTCCATATTTCATTCCTTATGGGTATATTTCCTTTTCAGATGCAAATGTTCCACATTAAAAATTCCATATTCAACACCTTCAGTATTTTTTTTTCCAATTAGTGTGGCATATTTTATATCAACTGCAAAAGGAAGTAGCATACAAAGAATCTGATGGTGGAAAAAATTTAGAAGACAGAATCTCAAATGACACAAATGGTGTATAGCTAAAAGCTACAGATTAGGAAAAAACACTTCCTAGACAGCCTTGTTTCTAGATAGCTGCCTTTCAAAATGTTACTCTGTTTATTTCCTGGGCATTATCAAAACTATCAGAACCAGTAACTTCCTGTGATTTCTTCTACCTATATGTCACTTTATTAATCAATTATATATAGCCCTTTAAGTTACACATATCAGAGAAAATCTCATTGGTTAAAAGACATTATAACCGTAGCAGTCCCTTAAACTTTGAATTTAAGATAGACCCCAGATATTTTTCTTTTTAGTGAATCCAGATGTTTTATTATTTGTTACAATAATACAATAATTAAGATTTACAATACATTCTTTTTTAAAAAATTTTTATTTATTTGCAAGAGAGAGAGTGAGTGAGCATGAGTGAGGGGGAGGAGGTAGAAGGAGAAGCAGAATCCCCACTGAGCAGGGAGCCTGATGGGGGGCTTGATCCCACGACCCTGAGATCATGACCTGAACCAAAGGCAGAGGCTTAACTGACTGAGCCACCCAGGTGCCCCAATAAACTTATTCTTACTTAACCAATTTATTAAGGACAGTTGCCATCATCTTATTGAAAGATGCATTAAGAATAAGCTTTTCATCATTTTTCTTAATATTTATTTGACAAGATAATGAATTCTAAAGGAAGCCTATTTAATATTCCCAGAAGTTCCATTTTGATCAAAAGAACTTCAGAAACAGTATGGCTAAGGAGTCTAAGTAAAATAATGAAAAGAGAAGTGATCAAAACAATCTTTGTCAAGAAGAACCTATATTCTTTGCTTCACAGAATGATGGATATTTATTATAGGTATGAAGATCAGTAGAATCCTATGATCTCAGACATAAGATTCATGCTTGTAAGTAAAAGCTATTGATAATGGAAAATTTCCATTGTATCTATATAACATTAATGGATAACCATGTATTTGCTCCCATTTTTGAGCACTTAGTATGTATTAAATATTGTATGAAATATTTTATAATTAGTTTTTTGTAACAGCCTTATAAGATAAATCTTTAAAGATGATTTAAAAAAGTGAATAATGGGGTGCCTGGGTGGCTCAGTCATTAAGCATCTGCCTTTGGCTCAGTTCATGATCCCAGGGTCCTGGGATCAAGCCCCACATCGGGCTCTCTGCTCAGCAGGAAGCCTGCTTCTCTCTCTCCCACTCCCCCTGCTTGTGTTCCTGCTCTCGCTATCTCTCTCTGTCAAATAAATAAATAATTTTTTAAAAAAGTGAATGAGAGGGAACAGAGCAGTAAGAACATAGAGAGATACAGAAAGAGGAAACAGATTAACTAGCCTAGTTTAAGTTCATGCAATAGAAAGTTATGAAGTCAGGATTCAAATCCAGACCTGGTGACCACAGCCTGCCTTCTTACCACTATGCCACACTGCATCCCCAGAATACCCAATTGTTTATGGTGAAGGAGGTTAGAGTTTTGTACATGCTGAAAGTAGAGATTAGGTCAGAAAAACTTACCATAAGAAATAAATCAACATTGTATATGTTATAAACTGATTGTAAAATTGTTCCCAGTTGGCATTCCATATTGAACTACTAAAAGAAATGTTGAAAAGTAATTTGGTTGTAAAATGCACCTCCTATTCATCTTTTATATAAACTTACTAGGATATAAGGATGCCTCTTGGTTTCCTTGGACATAAGGATTAATTTTTTAGTCTCAATACATTCTATTTGCTATTTTTAAATTAAATTTATTGAGGTATCATTTATAAATTTATATAGAATACAGTTTTTATAATCTGTTAAATTTACAAAGGGATATTTCAAAATATAGTATTTCTTAAGCAGCATTTCCCATGGAATTTACGGCCGAATTGAGCACATAGAAAATATTCAGTAAATTTTATTGATTAAAAAAAACCCACTGATTTAATAAAATATCTTCCCTCAAAGATAATATTATTTCTAAAATGAAATATTCTTAGTGAATATAAAAACATAAAAGAAAAAGACAGCTGATTACAAATGCAATTACAGCTCTGTTAAATGTTCAGCAGATATATTTTTCATTTGTTGAATAATTTTTTAGATTTTAAAGAAATTCTATTGGTTATTGCATTTGATCTTAACTCAGTGAAGTTTGAGTACTACATTTAGATTGAAGGTAAGAATGCTTGATGTTTGTTTTCCTTAACAACTTTAAAGAGACAGAGAAATATATAATTAAATTAAAATAATTGAGAAAGAAAAGGACAATACAACTATAAGGGATACACAGGAATCATTTATACATATGGATTAGAGAGAGAGAGACAGAGAAAGGAGGAGAGAGAGGGAGAGAGATGGAGAGAGAGAGTGAGAGAGGAAGGGAGAGGGAGAGGGAGAGAGAGAAAGAGGGAGAAAAGGCAAAGCAGTCCCAGAGATAGAGATGTTCACATGGCCAAAGGCAGTAGTTGTAAATTACAATGTACTAAGATAATGGTTTTTTCAGTTTTTTAGAATAGCTGAGGATACCTAGCTACTGCAAGAGATTTCAAAGGAACTATCTCATAAAATACCTTTCAAAATTTTTAATAAACCAGAGAACATGGGCAAAGAATGATGGTGATATGCAAGCTATCTTCTCTTGCCAGTCAAAAGCACATGAAATTCTAGGTATCAGTCTTAGATTTTATAGTTTTGTCTTCTGGATACACAGAAAGAGACTGTATTATTTCAGGTTTGCTGACACAAACTGATCCCAGAATCAGACTCTATCAAGGTTCTATGTCAAGTCTCTCCTATTTGTGAATGAAATATAAAGAATATGTAAAACAATGGCTGAAATATGCAGGAATGGTGGTAAAAAAATCTAGAATAAAAAAGGTTTATGAGAATGCTAATGATAACATGTTTGGAACTAGACTAAAGATATTGGCCTACTTGAAGAAGGGGATGTAAGGGAATCAGAAGGAAGGTAAACAACTGAATTATGCTTTCATCCTTTCCACCAATGAGAAAAATTCACAAATGTGTAAGTACAGAAAAGCTTCGTTAAGGAGGCATCAAATGTGAGAGCCCCTACCCTAAGTTAATTCTCAGTTCCATGAAATTACACTCCTGTGTACAGAAAGAACTTACAGAGGTAATCACAGTACTAGTCAAATGACATTCAACTAACACGGCACATACCTGGAGAACACTCTTTATCTTCATACTTCATTCTCAAAACAAAAAACAACAAACAAACAAAAAAGACCACAAAAATCTACTTATAATACTGATGGTTCTGAATGCTAGGTGTATCTTCTCTGAAATATCATGAGGAGTGAAAAGACTCCAAAAGGACTGAAAATGACAAAGGTCCTGGTTGTTAGGAAGATTCTTAAAGCCACAGACTAAGAAGTTTGATGTAGGCCCTAGCCAAATTCTGTAAGAAATTAGATAAATAGGAACTTTTTTAAAAACCAGAAGTAATCATAGGAATCACTGTGGTTTCATGAAGAATACACTGTATTGAACTAAGCTGCATATTTCCTTTAGAGTTATAGTGAAATGAGATATTTTTTGGTAAAATCTGATGTTTTTATAATGAAATGAGAAATGTTTGTTAATTCCTATTAAATTAAGTATATTGTTGGCTGAAAAATCATACCCACAAATTGCTAATTAATAAAAGTCAACTAGAAGTGTCATAAGAGTTATATCTTTGTATTTGTCCTGGTCAGTAATAATAGCAACAGTTTGGATGAAAACAGGGAATGTGTATGTCTCTGCAGATGAATCCTTATAGCACAATTGCAAAGAAGAAAAGATTCCAAATTCAACTTGGTTTGTGTTTTGTCTCTTAATTTCTTTCCTGGGCATGTGACTTAACCACCTCCCAAGTTAATGAAACAATAAATTTTATTTATTTTGAGATGAAGAATTAATAATGGCTATACCAAAATATAGCATGATATTCATTCATGTGGAGGTGAGTTAGCAAAAGTTAATCCAAATTCAGTACAAGCCAACTATGGGATGTAAAACTTGATAATGCAACCTTAAATTATGTTCATACACTTGCTATATCCCTGGAGCTTAATAGTTACACTATTTATCACACTGATTAAAGTCAAATATGATGTATTGCATTCCATCTGAAGCTCCACATTTTGTAAAGTATATCATCTAGTTAGAATATACAGTAAAATGGAATCCGGATGGTGATGGGTCTAGAGACTCTTCCATGTAAGGGGAAAAAATAGGAATCAATAATGTTTAACCAGCAGAAGTGAGATCAAAAGAGAGAATATGAAATAGATAAAAGGCAAAACTAGCATTATGTGTGTGTGTGTGTAGCCACAGATATCATAACTGGGCCCACTGAATCAAATTTATGGATGAATATATTTTCAGGATATAAGAAAAGACCTTCTAACAATTAAAACTGTCTAGTTCTGGAACAGGTTGCTTTGTGAAGTAATAGACTCCCCTTTGGTGGAAGTGTTCAGAGGGTGGCTGGCCACCTCTCAGAGATATAATGTGCAGAATTCCTAAGTAGATAGGTAGATGGAAATCTGAAGGTTCTTTAAAGCTCTTAGATTTTAACAAAGGACAGAGAGCTGAAGAAGAGGCTGTCTCTTACTCTTCTTTGTAAACCTAATGTCCACTATGGAATGAGGAACACAGTAGGGATGTGAACCAAATTGATAAAAATTGAGAAGCTATATAGAGTAATACAACACACACATGAGAAAGAAATGAATAGGAAATCAATGAAAATAGAAAATGGATCATTTTATCCAATCAAATTTTTGTTCTATGTGATGAAAATTGGATGTAATTCTTAAGCTGCATGACATTTACCAAGACGCTTGAAGAAATTCTCCTCTTCATCTCTTCCATTTTCCATTCCACTCCCTGGCCCACCTTCAGAAAGCTTCACTGCACTGGTAAATTTGACCTGAGAAAAAAAGACAATTCTTTGTGTTTATACAAACACTTGCCTTGAAAAATGTTATTTAGAATATGAAGATTACTTTAGTTCTTCTGACTTCCACATCTGGTTAGTCAGTCACTATGGTTCATTCCTATATACCAAAAAAGACATGACTTATAACTAATTTGAAAGAGAATCCAGTCATAGGTTGAAAGTAAATAATCAGGCACCATTAAAATAATTCAGTGACTAAATGAGACGTTCTTAGAGTTTAATTCTGAAAAAATCCAAACTCAAATTCATGAACAGCAAGCCATATTCATTCTTCACAAAAAACACCGCAGTTGAGAATGAGACCAAACTGAAAGACAGCCAAATAGAAGATTTCAAATCTTTATGAAAAAAAAAGAAAAACCAGTATAAATTAATTCATAAAGTACCCTATAATTAAAGTGAAATAACATCTTTGGTTTTTTTCCTAAGAATTTAAATGTGCTCTTGATCTTGCTCTTAGGCCAAGAGTACTTAAAATTTTCAGCAAGTAAGGAAGCTATGGGCCTCACATACTCTCAATATTTGGCCAATTTTTTAGTAAAAAGGATATGAAGGAGGAATTATATTTTCTAAATGTCATAAGGTTGATAGAGTCTTTTTATAATTTCAAAATATTACTATTAAAACAGATAGAAGAAAACTGGTTTTAGTGAGATTCAAAGCAGAAAGAATATAAGCAAATGATTTGGATATAAAGAAATATAACTCTTACCACATGCTGGAAATTATAGTGACCAGGACATGGATCATGCATAGGAAAGGCTCTTGTAGGAAATGGATTTCACTGAGAATCATTACCTTTTCCAAATAGTATGCTGCTACAATGCTTAACAGTATTATGAAGAAGCACTTAGTGGGAAAAATCCTCCTGAATTTCTTTATCCTTTTCAATAGGGAGAATAGTTCAGATAGTCACAAAAGTAATAGAAAGAGGATGAAGTGTGTGTGTGTGTGTGTGCGTGTGTGTTTTAATATATAAAGAGGATCATTAGAAAATTACTGCATCCTTGGGTAGGAGCTTGAGATGTCAGGAATTTCACATGTATGTTAAAAGCTAAAAATAGTTGGGAAATACCAATTTGGATGCCTTTCATTTCTTTTTCTTGTCTGATTGCTGTGGCTAGGATTTCCAGTACTACGTTAAATAAAAGTAGTGAGAGTGGAAACCCATTTGTAACAACATGGATGGATCTAGAGGGTATAATGCTACATGAAATAAGTCAGTCAGGGAAAGACAAATATCAAATGATTTCACTCGTGGAATTTAAAAAACAAAACAACAACAAAAAGAAACAAAATAATAGACTCTTAACTATAGAGAACTAACTGGTGGTTACTAGAGGGGCAATGGGAGGTGGGATGGGTGAGAAAAGTAATGGGGATTAATAGTACACTTATCATGATGAGCACAGGGTACTGTACTGAATTGTTGAATGACTATATTGTATACCTGAAACCAATATGACACTGTCCGTTAATTATACTGGAATTAAAAATAATAATAAAAATAAAGTTAAAATATTAAAATAGCTGGGAAATAATACCTATATACATCTCTAGATCTGCATTATAATTTTATGTAAATTTTTTGTTACTCTTTTTTTCTTTTCCATAATAGCCTACTACTTGGATATCTTAGTTCTCATTGGTCATTTAAGTTTCTAAACTTTGTTCAATTTGAAGACAGTTTCTTCAACTCTTTCTTATTTGGCTCCTCCAGGTGTTTAGCATTTCTTGGTCCTGAAATTTTTCTATCAGCGACTCCAACGTTCTCTTACATAAGCGATGTCCTGTTTACCTTGGAGCTTTGCCTGATGAAAGACAGGCGGTCCACAGAGCTGATGTCCAGAAGGTCCTCCACGCCATCTGCTAAGCCCGAGAGGGAGGACCGCTTCAGCCAGTTTCCTATTTAATAATTTTTAAAAAGTTAGACCAGTATAGCATTTTCTCCCAAATGAATTAAACAGAAATGTCAGCATGTGCTCAACAAGCAATGAAAGTTATTTGGCTTGATGTAAATTGAAGTGAAAACAAGTGGTTTTCAAAATGTACATGATTTGAATATTCAGTGTTGGATTATAAAATGACAAGACTGAATAAGACCACTACAAAAAGAATTTGGGCCTCTTTGGTGAATAAAACCACAATCCATCCTGTTCTCCTTGACACTTCACACATCTTCCAATAAGTCCTGTTGATTTTACCTCCTAAGTATTTCTCAAATCTGTCTACTTCCCTGTACATGGTCACCACCCAGTCCAAGTTTCCATTACTTATGCCTGGACTACTAGACAGCTTTCTATCTGGTCTCACTTAACCAGTTGTGCTCCCTCCAGTATGTTGTCCATGCAGTGATCTTTTAGAAAAAGGTAACCTGCTTGCTCAACATCCCACTTGGGCTCTGTAGGGCTGTAGGATGAAGAGCCAACCTTACCTGCAAGGTTCACAAGCTCAAGTCCCCATTGCTCTGTCATAGTCATGCACACACTCTTCTCTTCATCTCAGTTCTTCCACTTCCTTCCCTCCTAATACTTTTACAAATTATATTCCTACCATTTAGAGAGCTCTCCTTCTTCCTTCCCCTAAGTACCCTGAAGATCTTAATCTCACTTCCTCCAGGAAGCCTTCTCTGATCTCTGCCTCCTCCTCCCTATTTAGGTCAGACCTCATTGCATGCTTTCATGGCACAACATATATTTCCTTCATAAAATTAACAGTTTGCAACCACACTTAGTTGTAGGATTATCTGCTTTAGTGACTGTTACCCCTAATAAATTTTAAGTTCAGTAAAGTTGGGCACTGTGTAATTTTGATCATCATTTAATCCCTGATGCCTAGCATCATTGTGTTTGCACACAATAAATGCACATAGCAGGAGTTTGAGAAATACCTGCTGAAAAAAGATGAATGAATGAATGAATGAATGAATGAATGAGCAAGATTAAGCCTTGTGACTTGAAGGCTTTCCCCTTCTCTACCCTACCATGCATCACTTTGTTTTGATTATGAGTTGATTTGAGGACATGGCAGGGAATAAGAGAATCCATAAATAAACACAGACATACTTTTACCTATGGGGAGTTTAAGTTTCTTCCGGAGGGAAATTCTGCGGGACCGTGAGCGGGTGCGACGGTCAGAGGTGGTTCCTGAATGGGCAGTGGTGCATTCTGAAGTATCCTGCTCAGACTGGCTGCTGGTGTCACTTGCTGCACTCTGGGATTTGAACATCTTGCGCCAGAAATCCTTCCGCCCCAGGTTGCCCCCTTGCATTTGTTCATCACTGAAAGCAAGCAGAGGGTAGAGTTAAATGTCTGACTCACATGGGAAATTCCTTAAATTTCTTTCAACTTCCTGCCAATGACATTTACGCAATTCATGCAGGATGATCTTGGATGGGCTTGGATTTAGGATGAGTCAGAGGGGGAGCGGAAGGAGTGAGACCAAGGTTGACTCTGAAGTCTTCCTGAAAACAGTCATGTCTCAGCTGTCAAGTAGAGGTAATCAATTTTTTTCCAACTTTAATAAAAAGACCAAATATTATTGCAGGTATTCATCTGCAGGTGTGAGTCATAATAGCAGAAGCACTTATGATGTCTAAATATTTCACTTTTTTTTGAAGGTTCCCAGAGGCTTGTGCAGTACTGTATCTCACTCTCCACCCCCACCCCAGCATAGCATAATTCTAGGCACTAAATAAACTCACAAATGATATTTGAATAAATGAATAAGTGAAATGCAACCATACTCAGGGGGTGCATCATCCCGCAACTGTTTACTAAATTATTTTCATCATGCCTGATTATTTAGCTTTCTCAGGGCAAAAAAGCTTAAGTAAGGTTTAAAAGTAAAAAAAATTAGTCCAGCTCAATAAGCCAAATGGGAACACATGCAAAGGGGTTTCTGACCAGGACATTCCACAAGAGGAAAAAGACAAGTGGCCATAATATGCAGAGGTTAATCTCACTAGGAATTGGGGGGGAGGGGGAAGGTCAGTTGAAATGAGATCCCTATTTTCACTCATTAAATTGGTAAAGATTAAGAGGGGAAAAAAGAAAGCAATTTGTTACCATCATCCTGCCAGTGATGAGATAAAAGACTCAACTTTTCTGGAAGGTAATTTAGTAATGTGTTATCCAAAACCAGTATCTATAGCCATGACAGAGAAATCCAATTTCCAGACAGTTATCACAAGGAAATGACTGGAAAATATACTAACATGTATATGATGACTAACATGATAAAAAGATGATCAAATACTCGCTGAGGTATTATAGGTCAACACTGAAAAACTGGAAGCAATCTAATAAAATGTAATAATCTAAATCTAAACAAATCTAATAAAAATAAAACATCTCAATAAAATGCTACATCAGCTTTGTCCAATGGTGTGTATTGATAATGAGTTTCAGAGAAATGAGCATATGAAACTGCTTCTAAATTTAATTAGTTTATTTTTATTTAAGGAGGAAGAAGAAGAGAAGGGCCAGAAGGGGAGGGAAGGGCAGGAGAAAGAGAGGATAAAGGAGGAACCAGGATTGTCCACCTACCTTTCTCCAGTGCTAAACAGGGTATTTGGCATGCTCAACTCCTGCGCCCACCCAGATCAGGGAAAAGCTCTATATTTAACATTCCATGACATCCCTCCAAATGGAAATTTTTATGCAGAAGCATATTAAAACATGTATCTTTATTCAAGGAGAAAGAACAGACCCATGCTAAATGCTGGGATATCAGACAGTGTTTACAGAACACTGGAGAAAGAAAATATTTTGCCATCTAGAAAATGAAATCACCTATGAAGATAGATGGTTTTATTTTTAAAATACGGTTTACTTATTAGATCATTCTCATTGATCATATTTGCTTAATAGTTGCTAGTGCTACTGTGGGGGAAAAAAAAGCCCTCTCTCCTTTTTCTGCTCATGCTCTGTATGTATAGACTTTAACTAGTCTTGTGGCTATTCAGCTACAGAACTTTGCCCTTTACATTAATTTTTTTCCCTTAGAGCTTATGTTTGACTTTTTACTATGTCCTTAAAGACTTCCTTAAACCTCACATTTAAGAAAGGAAGTTAAAGGAAACAAAAACTTAATGGTAATTTCACAATTCTATCCTTTCATTGATTGCTTGTTATTCATTCATTCATTTCTGAAATAGATATTAAGTGTTTACTATGGGGGTCAAGTCCTAAGCATTGGGGCTATAATGGTAAGCAAAAACTCACATAGTCCCTAGACTCATAGAGTTGATTTATCTTCTCTTTACTTTTCTCCAGGCACTTAGAGACAGTCTCTAAGATTTTGAAGGGCTATAAAAACTATGCAGGCTTTTGTTCTTTGAAGGTTTTCCTTGCTTGTTGTGAATTACCATGGTCCTATTTGATGACGGTGATTTCCTTGACTATATACTATACATTATGGTATACCATAAAACCTGCAGAATTTCTGGAAAAGTAATTGTTTCATAGTAAACCAGGGTTTGGGGAAGTAAAATGGTGTATCTTGAATGATGTTCCTATTTTAGATACTGATCACACCACTTGTGAGTAAGTAGTTCTCAAAAGAAGAATGAAGACAAATGAGCCTTGCCTAGAACTAGACTGTATGTTTAGTGTCTATAGTAATTCTCTCATTTTCTGGAGGTACTAATTTTAAGACGCTTTTGACTTTGCCATTATAAAAAGTGGAGATAAACTGATTGATTTCAGGGAACACTGGAATGGATCTCAGGAGAAGACCAAGGTGAAATGGAGTAGAGTCTATGTTTTAGCTAAATCAGAGCACAAGAGAAGTTTATCTTACTTATTTTTGGAAAAGCTTCATCGAGCACATTGACAGCCATTAATACATTTAAATAAAAAAAGTTATAAGTGATTTTAAGCAATAAAGTAGATGACACCTCCACCCCACCTGATACACATGCTAGTTTTCATGATTTATCTGCAGGAGTGTGCACGAAAAGCAGAAGTGGGGTAGAAATTGGAAATGGGAAATGTTGTTAAGGAAGCTTCCCATAGGCATGAGGTTGGTTATTTATGATTTGGGTCTGTAGAGATTAGTGGCTTTGGGAAGAAAAAGTAAAGGGCAGAAGCAAGGCAAAGTTCAAAGATAATGACAAGCAAACAAACAGCAGTTGGGAAAATTGAATTTCTTACAGTGGGAAGTGCTCAGCCCCACTGCACTGGAGAGAAAATCAATGTTACTTACTGCTCTGGAGTCTGTGAGGGGCGACCAGACATGAAGCTGCGACATTCCTCAGGTGCAGAGGACACCTGGCCTTTATCCACAATGCTTCCCACCTCTGACCTATGCAAATGGTGCAGTCCACCAATCAAACAGAGCATGACACCACTCCTCAATACTTCATATACTTCATAAAGCAAAACACTCCGTTACAGTCAATATATATTGCTTGCAAACCCTATGTCGTCATGAGTCTATACTGTATGAAATTTATTTCCTACCATTTGATTCATGACCTAGCTGCCTTATTGTCTAAGAATACCACCATCAATGCAGAGTCATTAACTACAAGCAGAATTTTAAGTTTAGGAGTTTCTTTTAATCTTGTTAAGTGGCATATTTTATAGAATAGGCATACAATAAATTTATATTTACTAGAAGGAAAAACAATAGGGCACATCTCAGCAATTTGTATTTTGCCATGTTTAAAATATTACTTACTGAACAGGAGGACATGGTATCCATAATTGCTTTTCCTCTCTGGACAAAAATGTAAATTATTTATGGAAAAGACTAACACAGCATTTCACCATACTGTTGAGAGCTATGAAATAAAGGTCAAGTGCATGTAAGCCTGAGATGAACTGCGCTTTGATTTATAGAGAGGCAGGATTTGTTTCATAGTAAACACATGTTTTGCTACATTACCAGTGATACCATTTATACAAGACAGTTCCTCCAGCCCTGCACTAGAGTTACACACCATCCTGTGAACCACATGGACATTACAACAAATTACACTCTACTGACATAAGGCCACACTAATATTTATAGCTCAAGTTTCTAACCTTTTACTGCCTGCAGTCTTAGATTCTGATTCATTCTCCTCCACCTTTTTCCCTGGTGCCAACTTCTCAGCACTGTCCAGCAAAGCACTGAGGGCCACTCTCCTGAAGACATTCCCATGAGCCTCTTTGATAAATTGGACCAGCTGACGGATGTCACAATACAGCCCCTGTTTGGATGCAAGAAGGAAAGTTTGGGGAAAGTTGTGTGATTAAACAGTTTTCACAGGAAGAGAGGGAGAAATTAATTCCTTAGGCTTAGATCAGCATTAGAATCATAAAAGGAAGACATTTTACTACAACGAAATGGATGGTACCCGGTCTGTCCATTGTTCCTATGGCAACATTACCAAGAACCTTGCCTGTCATCCTTAGTATGAAAAAGGATGGTTACCATGCTTCATATTCAGAAAGTTGGCTGTATCATTAGAAAGAAATCAATTTACACTTTAAACCACTGGATTCCCAAGCTTTAATTTTCTCTATTATGACTTCTGAAGAGATGCCTGCAGAAAAAAGGCAATCAGAAGTTTGTTTAGACTAGAGATTTCAGTCCCTCTTTGGCTTCTCCAAATTTTCTGCATCACTGTGATAAAATATGCTAAGTCCTCTAGACACTTCTAACAGAGCCTGATATTCAAGGAGAGTGCATTTTGCTGGACATATTTAACAAATGTGTATGTTGAAGCCCATTTGAACATGAACTTGACTATGAACTAAAGATGATACAGGGCTATTAAAACCAATATATTGATGAATCCACATTTAAAAATATATATAGGACCTTTTTCCCTTAAGATATTAACCTTTTCACTCAGCATTTCCTCCTTTCTCTTCAAGAAGGTAGTTTCTGCATTCTTTGCCTTAGGAAAGGTTCATGGCAAAGCAAGGCACAGAAGCCTAAGAAATACTTACCTTGGTATCTTTGGATTTCAAAACCTAAGACCACTGGAACAATCATGCCCACGACCCTTAAAAAATCAGAAGGAACAGTAACTGAGGAAAACATGGAAAGAATGTTTTTTTCGGTCCTCTGGGCAGAAAGATCTTGTGCCCTCATTGTACTCTTTGGTAGCTCCCCCACAGATGGGACAAGACCCCCCAAAACAAGGGTTCCAATTCACCAGAGTGCCCAGCCCTAAGCACCCAGCAGAGAGCAGTACATGAAATAATATGTATGGACAGATGGTTGAGACCCATGGAGCTTCTCGGGTCCTAGGTCCTACCAAAGACTTGGGATCTTTGCACCACTCTGTGAAGTAAAGAAACCCAGGAATATTGGGGTTCAACTTTCAGCTGTTCTGGTGGAATGTGGAATGGGGGTTCCAAGTCAAAACCAAGATGATTTAAATAAAATTAAGAAATACAGTTATTTCTTCTACACCTGATTTTGCAGACTGAAATGTATAAGTGCTCACACATATTATAATCAACTTGTCAAAGTACTTCTTGCTGTCACCAAATTAAACACATGGACGGTGCCCATGTTTTTCTCAGACTCCAAGAACTTTGCTGAGGTGGCTTTGGCAGTCAGCAAAATTCAATTCCCTTTGCTTTAGGGTTTTAGTTTATCTCAAGGTATGTGAATAGTCTCAGTGGTTTAGAATAGCTTAAAATGATTTTCTTGATTTAGGTAGATTAGCAGATATTGTCAATATGTATAAATAGGCTGATTCCTACATAGAAGTCCCAACATGTAACAAATTGGTAAGAGAGCGAAAGGTACTTTTACTCCCCAGAGAGAACTGAATTCATCTTTCATATGGGTTCATCAGCCTTAGTCTACTTTTTGTATCCCAAACCACAATCTCCTTGGCAGCAATTAAACACTACCTTGTTATAGCCTGGTTCTTCTCCCACACTACTTGTGGGTTTAGTGGTTTAATTAACACAGTCATTTATGAGGGAGTAATTAAAAAATTGCAGTGTTCTATAAAAGAAAACAAGACCAATTTCAGCAGCATATTTACATTAATTTTTAAAGTAAGTGTGATTTCAAAAACTGTTGGTACAATATTCTTTAATATTTCATGAGCTAATAGGCTATGCTCGAGCACCTCTTTCTCTTTAAGGACTGGAAGTACCTTGCAACTATCTCAGCAACCACCACAGAACCCATGAGGTGGAAGAGGAAGATATGTCAGTTTTCAAGTAGTTTAATGAGTAACAAGGAGAAATGTGCTACTGAGGCTCCGCCATGAGTTACTGGTCACTTTGGGAAAATAGAGATTTTTAACTTCAAGGTGCAGCATATTAGACTTCAATTTGTCTTTCCCAGGGCCACGGCCAAGAACTTGTCTTAGAGTGGAGACCAGGAACTCCTGTGGGAAGAAGAGGTGAACTTCTCACCAGATTCTCAGGGCTGTGCAATTCATGCGTGGTTGAAGCGCAGCGTGTGATAAGGGATTTAAACATGGCGCTGACGATGATGCCTTCCACGTTTTGGGCTGTGGATTTGTTGTCCACCGTGGTGAAGTTATTTCCAAACCCAGCCTTGTCTGGAATGCAAAGGCACCAATTAAAGGCACTGTTTCCATTAAGCTACACAGGCTAAAGAAGTAATGAAGTACATGGCACCCAGGAATTAGTGAAGGGCTACACAAAATGCAGAAACAAACGATTAAAGATACCCCTAGGTTTAATCATCTTTACACAGACTTGGAGATAAACAACTCATAGTCTCCCTCAGAGTCTTTACTAGGATATATTTCATCATGTTGTGGAATGTTTCTACTGATACATCTTAGCAAAAATAATCCCTCATTGGCGAGAGAATTTATTTGATTCAGCCTTTCTGGTGGTGAGGAATGCTGGCTTCTCAGTGGAAATCCTTCAGTCATTCAGAAGTAGGGGTGGGGCCAACCAGGTGAATGGGGCAGGAGGAGGCAGAGGTGGGGAAAGGCCTTGTTGGGGGGAATTACACTTGCACTGGCAAAAAAAAAAAGGAGACCAAGTCCTGCCACGATCTGCATAGAACTTCCAGCAGCTTCTCGCTCCCAGAGACTCTGTAGTCATTCAGAGAATGAAAACCTATAACCTCTCTTAGAGCCACTTCCTTATGACTCACTGAAATGTGAAATGCCAGTGAACTGAGGCCGTCACTCTCTGGTGGCATTTTATGCCAGTTTTTCACATATCCACAGGCATTTCGTAGGGGACATATTAGATATTCCGGAGCCGTGGCAGAAGATTCCTAATGACTGTGAGCCACCTATGGATCGCAGGGTCAGGGTGTGTATAGCTCCAAAACTAATCAGATAGGGACCTGTGTGTTTGGCTGGCTGATTCACTGTGAGCCCCTTCTCAAGAGTCCTTGGCGGATTCGTCACCTTGAAGTAATACACTTTATCACCAACCTCTCACTGTCTGTGTCAGCTGGCAGGGGATTATCCTTAGATTTTGTATCATAGAAAGAAATCTTTTGATCTATGCTTGCAGTTTCTATCTCGAATAGCTTAAAAAAGAGAAAATAGTTTGTAATCAGGAATTTCTCTTGCAGTATCTCAACTACAATTCTCACTTTATTATTTTTTAAAATTTGTAATATGCTCAGCTTAAAACATCTTTGATGATATACATTATTTTAGGGGCTCTATAAAGGAACAATTATTTTTTTAATGGGATCACCAAACAATAAAGCCTGGGATACAAATAGGGAAACTGCTTCCAAATTCATCAAATAGATCTTCATTATAAATTAATCAACTATCATACATGTATCATACAAACCATAAAAGGCTATACTAAGAAGTTATTTCTTCCCAGGCTCTAATTAAAAGGTATATGTTATTCAACTCAGGCTTCATACAGCATTTTCATTTCATTACTGCATTTGCATTCGAGTGGAATTGAAGGTGTTTGGTTTATTATGAATGCAATCAGTGTTCATGGCCCCCTATACCACAGGTCTCTATGGTGGGAGTTTCTTAAAGCCATGAAGCTATAAAATGGTTTGTGGGGCTATCTATATATCCATTTGCCTGTTTTAAAAAAAATTCAGTATAAATATGTAGGTGTATATGAGTATATCAAAATTGCGCTACTACTATGTCTATATATATCTTTTTTTTCCTGTTTTACTTTGTGAAAAAATCTCCAAGTACTGTGCCTGGCACATAATAGGTACTCATTTCATATTTGTTGAACTAATGAATATACTCCCTTGTTCCTTGATTTCTGCCTCAATTGTCATACAACAGAAAGTCGTGTGAGAGGGAGAGGAGTGCCAAGACTGATGGTTTGACGGGCTAACAGTGAGGATGCCACAGCTTTACCAAATCCCCTTTGTTGAGGGAAGTTGTCATCACAAAGCCTCCAAAATGTGTCATCAAAGACGATGTGCAGGCTTCTCTTATTTATACTTTGTTACACACACACACACGCACACACACACATCTTTCCCTCTAAATTCTATCCCCACATATTCAGGGTACTTCTGAAACTCTACCTGCTTCACCTCATAGCGATCTCTCCTGGAACGTGGCACAGCTCTACTTACTGTCAGTGACCGGCTCCATACAAAATCCTAGCAAAGCATGCAAGAAGTCCACTACATTATTGAGAGAGTCCTTGTTCACATAGTCCCTCATGGTTTGTCGGAACTGCATCTTATCTAGCTTGTATAGCTTAGTGAGGCAGTTCTGGGCCTGCAATGAAGGAAGAAAAGTGAAAAGTCACAGGTACCAGCTTAAGCTAGGGATACCATTAGTCTGAGACAGAAGCCTGCAGAAGGCAAAGGCTTCCATCCATCCCTGCTGACTGGTGTGGGCCAACCCTGCCAGTCCCTCTTGTCTGAGCAAGACAGGGGCAGAGATAAGCTGAGCAGTATGAAGGACTTTATTTGAGAAGGGCTGCTCCAAGTAAAACCCAAGGCTAATGTCTAATGCTGGTGCCAACGGGACCCAGTCTTTTCACCAAGATCAGGATTTTAAGATCTTAATGAAAAAAAGCTCAAAGTGTCAAAAATTAGGCAGGTTTCGGAATTGGTCATCCAGGTTTAGAAAACCTCAAAGGCTTTGTGTAATGAGAAGGAGTTTGCCACTCCCACGTTCAGCTACTTTGAACTTAAGTAGATTTAATTGGGCCGGGGGTGGGGGTGTGTGTGAGAGTGATGTAGGAAGTGGGTATCTAGTGTCCTCTTATCTGGCCAGGAAGGGAAGATCCTTGAAGCAGGGAGGGAGCATAAAATAAAGGCAGGTCTAGTTTGTTTATTTATGTGTCTGCATTTGAATGTGAAAGTTTGATATTTAATAGAAATTGGCCTTATAGATATGAAAACCAAGAAACCATTGGCTAGACCTTGATACTCACAATTATATTTCATATGATACAGCAAATAATTCTGCCATCTGGCAAAGGGAAAGGGAATAATTCCACCATCAGAACAAATAAAGGCAGTCATTGGCTGCAGAAGGTCACAGACAGAATGTGCAGATACTATCTGGTGTCATTCAAAGCCTCCCAGCCCTCTCCTACCATGAAGAGAAAAATCACATGTGTGCAGTGCTTTGCTATTTAAAATGAGTTTCTTGCTTGTAAGTGCATAACAACATGTAACTTTCACACCTCTGTGATTTGATGAGCCTCCCAATACTACAATGGAGGAAGCTGAGGCTCACAGAAGTCAAGGACTTTGTCTGAGTTGACACGGTTCACAGCAGAGCCAAAATTAGGAGTCAGAGTCTTGCCCTTTATTGTGGTTATTTCTCTTATGATCCAGTAGTCCTATGAAGAATCCAGACAATGACTGGGGCAAACATATTTAGATACCACCCACCTTCAAAAAGAATTTATGATAATGGATGAATAGAGATTAGTTGGTATCTTGAAGACACATTCTGTGTAAGAGATATAAGGAAGTCCGTGACAAAGGAATGAAATGGGGAAATAACAGGAGAACACTCTAGGTTGAGGGAAAAGGCTAAGGATCAAGGAAAGGGGGATGACTGGGTGAGGAACACCTTAAATTGAGGATGGAAAACTTTGGACAACCAGGCAAAATCATAGAAGTAAGATTGGAAAAAGCAATCCCTAAGAATTCGAACTTACAAGGTAGGCCCTTAATGGTTTCCCAGAAGAAAAGTTAAGTTATATCACTACTTCAACAAATCAAGGGCCAGAGAAAGATTCTGGAAAAATTTGAGAGGAAATAGAAAGATTTTTCAAAGGCTGAAACTTGGAATGAGCAATAAACTTCTTGGTTTGACCTTGCTATAATCCCCCCATCTGTATCCCAAAGTCAGGTGAATTGATAATTGTTTTCATTTTCCCTTTACTAGGTCCTCGAATATAGAGAAATTGGGTATTTTTATTCCAGAGAGGTTACTCATTGCTAGGTCTTAGGCAAGCTCATTTTTTTCCCTTACAAAATAAATGCTGCTTGCTATAAAATTACGTTTTCAAAGCACTTACATACAATATTTCCTGCATGAAGAAGTATTTAATCATTATCCATAAAGAATTTGCAAAGATCTTATTGGTATACTTATGAAGCACTTTAAAATTCTGGGTTGGAAAGCCCTGAAGCACAAATTATCCTATCTTCTCTACAAAATACATGGAAGACAGCATTGCTTCAAATCTACTCTTTAGAGGGACGCTTAAGTATTTGGATTCTGAATGAATATTCTAAACTTCTCCAAGAGATCTAAAACTGTCAGAGTGAATTCCCTTTCAATAGTTTGGGACCACCAGCAAATGATTAACCTAAAAAACACATGTTGGAATTATTAGGCATTTTGATGTATACATTAAAGTAATCTTCTATTTCTTCCTTCCTTCCTCCGTCCCTCCCTCTTTCTTTCTCTTTCTTTTCCTTCCTTCCTTCCTTCCTTCCTTCCTTCCTTCCTTCCTTCCTTCCTTCCCTCCCTCCTTCCTTCCTTCCTTCCTTTCTTCCTTCCAAGTATAGAGGCCCTGATCTGGTAGAAGTAAGAAATATTCTTAACATCTTAAAAGTTAAGTAACTTCTGAAAATTCAATGTTTTGGAAATTTGTGAAGACCCAGCTTCTTGAATTAGACTTTCCCAGGGATAATGTCTCAACTTTGTATCTCTTGGACAATGTGTTTGCTGAGCAAGGGGAGGCAAATATAATCCCTATAATAAGTATTAAACTGGGCTACAAGAGAATGGAAGAGCTGCCCTGTAAGTCAGGAAAGCTGAGAAGGCAGGTAAAAAACTGTCTGGACAGCCTGATAGGAAATGTTCAGTAGTCTCATGAGGAAAGCATGGTGGACTACTAAGCAGCAAATGGTCTCTCAAGTGGCTTCTGATCCAACCAGTCCTATATTCTCCAAGTCTAGAAAGACAGGATCTGGTGTCAGAGTCAGTTTATACCTCCAACTAAAGCATGACACTTATTATATTTAATGTGTCATTTCATGGAATTGGTCTTCTGTATGAGGAGTGATAATGTTTTTGCCATGAAGGCATTTATTCATACTGTGATAGAATTAAAAATCAAACAATAAAGATCACATACACATGCTCAAAGATAGGGCCAATGTCAGCTTTCTATTGCCTTATTATTTTGATTTTTAAATTTTGGGCCTCAAAATCTAGATCTTGGTCAAAGTGGTCACGCTTCATAATTTAGAAGTTAATTACTGTGAATATAACCCCCCATACAAACAATCTATGAATATAATACAATATAAAGAGTATAAAAGAACGAGACAAGGATGGATAGATGGATAGATGAGAAATTAATAAAGAAATCCAGCATGCTAGTACTGTGTGAACATTTCATGACAAAAACTAATACCAAGAAAAAATGGGTTGGCATTAGATGTTGACATGATCCTAAAACTCTGCCATCATATGCCAAAGGGTTTCCTGGACTCAAATTTGCATAAAGCCCTTATTTTCAGGATTTCAATTCAAATGTATATATGAGGCAACTGTCCCAGCTTGGACTTGCTATGGAGGTGGGTTATTGCTCAAGAGTGAAGGGAAAAGTAGCAATCAGCTGAGGCAAATGAAAATGAGCTGGAATAAAACCATGTTCCATGACAGAATTATGTTTTGCAAGCCCAAGTGCAGAGTTTCAAGTTTCACACAGTTCAAAGGGACGTGATCTCAAATACATAGGAGTCAAGGTTCATTCTCAAACAAAGCAGCCAGAAAGTAACGGGCTACTTTTATAGTCCTGTTTTGTCCCAATAAGGGCCATTTTCCATGTCTATGTAAGAATGACAAACTAAGTCCTAAACTTTGACCCCATTCTTTAATACAAAATATGTTTCTATAGTACCCAGGCAGATGATTAAAAAGTCATTTGTCACAGCCCATCAGAGGCTTGTTAAATATATTCATCTTTGCAAAGGTCTTTCAAACTCTAATTCACACATTCCAATTATACACCCTTTCACCAACTGGGAGTTGGCCTGCCCTAGGCAGAAGGCAGAAGTGTTTTCCCAATTAAGCTTTCCTAGGCCTGGGTTTTTGAGGTCTTGAGATATGTTGTGGGAATCTTCCCACTCCGAATCAGCATTAATCATCCCTGTGAAATACAATATTTTTCAGGGAACACTGACCCTCATTGTCAAAGGACTCATTCCTAAATTGGAGGCAGGGAAGAGGGAGAGGAAATGGAATCTACTGTAATTCTCTTACATTCTCTCGGAATACCTGGTGTCTCAGACGATCTCCAGAGAGCCCTCGATGTCCTTCTCCACAACCATAGGCACATCCCAAAGACTTCACTATTTTGATGAGCATGGTAAGAGCAAGCCTATGGTTGCTTACAGGTGTACTTTCATCCTAGAAAAGTTACAAAGCCCTTTTGGTACTGACATTCCATTCTGTGATTAAACCAAGTTTTATATGTTTTATGGTGAGCACGTACAACTTGAAAAACAGAATTGTCAAGGCCTCAACAAGCAAGTTAACCTTTCTAAAATCCAGAATGCCTTTTAAAAGAAAGAAAAATGTGCATTTTGATTACCCTCTAGTGCTAAAGGATATGACTGTAGACCTCTTGATTAGAAAACATGTTTCTGTATCCTTGGCAGACTATCAGAACCACCTAGAGAGACAATGGGGACTATCAGTGATGAAGGCAAATAGATTTTCCCAGAAGCTACCCTCATTATCAGGCTTCTGATAGTACCACCAGGCAATGATTATTGCTAAATTTCTGGAACTGATCAAAGTCTGGAACTTTGAAATCACATGGCAACTTCTGACATTTTTAAGGGACTTTCTGATTTTATATTTTCACTGTATTGTAATACTCACGCACCAGCAAAGTGAGAATATAAAGAAATTTGTCAACATTCAGCTTGTTTCTTCCTTTGAGGGTAAATAGGAAGCCCTCCTGAGATGAATAATGAGAATGGTTATCATATCTCTTTTGCCCCATTTAATCCTTGTTGTTAGTGGAGGACGCAGCTTCCAGAAAACTTCTGTGAATTATCTCCAAAAAGGCAGAAGGATCCTAATAATTTCTCTTTCTACATCAGTTTACTGTGCAGAACAAAGGAAATAATGGATAAGCATTGTTCTGTAAATGGTGAATGGTTTTCCATTGTCATGTGGATCAGGTGGCTATGCAAATGATGAGGTCACACACTGAAAGTACTCCAATGTGGGTAGGTTATGAAAGAGATGGAGTTATCTAGACATCATCCATAATATGGTGGGGAAGACTCCACTCCCCTAAAGTTATGCAGTTGGTCCTCCTTTTCTAATCTACAGGCTCATGCAGTGGATGCAGTGCTGAGATGCTCCATGCAGAACTGAACATTCTCTGAGCCTGGAAGTGTTGCTGGCTGACAGCTCTCTAGGGAGATCCTATCCTGCCATTGTTCTTAGCTAAAGGAGAGCTGCCTCACCTACGGTTAATGCTCTTCTTGGGAGCAGTCTGCCTCCAATGACCAGTCAAAGGCATAATGAGGGTGGGGGGTATAAAGGTGGGCTCCCTTCCTCCACTTGGAGATTACTTTGAAGAGTAATCCTCGCTTTAGAGCTCCCTGTGTGATGGGCTGAGGTCTCTGTTATAATAAGTTGCAGTTCAACTGCTCCCTCTATCTCATCCTGCTTCTTTTACACCTCATAGATGTTGATCCTGAGAGGACACCCCAGGAAACTTCCTGCACACACGTCTCCACATCTGAGTCTGTTTCCTGGGAACTCTATAGATTGAATGGTTGCAAATGAAAGACTCAGACTTACCAATAAACATTTATTTACTTATTTATTATATATACACCAATTCAGAAATGTTTTAGTTTGGATTCAAGTCTTAGCTCCATAACCTTGGGCCAGCCACTTAACCACTCCATGTCCTACGAAATGGGAATCATAATAATACCTATATCATACAGCAGTGAGGCTAACATGAGTCAAAACACGTAAGACATACAATAATAGCAAAACAAATGTTAATTATTATTTCGAGGTGTGGGACACTGCTCTCCTTTGAGGCAACTTTGTGCAAATTGGAAAATGCACTCCTGTGGGTGGATGAGTTAGAAAAAGGTGAGTCCTTTTAGTAGATGCAGCACTTGGTTGAACAGCGAAGTGAGCGGAGCTTGGACTGGGTTTCAGTCCTTCTTGGCCCTGCCTTAACCATGAGCCCTTGTATGGTGCACCGACTGCACAGCCAAAGGCAGTAAGTAGCGCCTCAGAAAAGTTCACCCTGGGTAGGACCTGATTTGGAGGATTGGCTTACGTCCATTTTTAGATTACTATATGTTCCTTTAAAAAAAAAAAAAAAATCCCTAGCTCCAAAAGCTTTTGGTAAATATCCATTCAGGTTTGATTTTCTTTACACCTTCAGATGTCCTTAGGATTTAGTTTCCTCTAATAGGAGACATTCAGAAAAATGTACCAAGCTACAGGCAGAAATCAGGACAGATATTAAATAACATTTCAAGCTCTCAGTATTAATTAGTGGCATCTATAGAAATAGAAATTAGATCTTCCTTTCTGAATAAATTCCCCATGCTTCTGGTATTACTAGGTTGTAAAATTAGATAAACTCTCTTGATTTCACTGAAAATAACAGAGATTTTGGGCAGAACAGACCTGTATGAATCACAAATACATGCACTTAACCTATGGTTAGGTTTTATTTAATTCTTTGTCTTACAACGAATATTATTTTTCAGAACTAACTACAAAACATTTGCAATCTTTTTTCTTTTCTTTTTTTTTTAAAGTAGGATCCATGCCTACTGTGGCACCATGGGGCCCAATGCAGGGCTTGAATTCACAACCTGGAGATCAAGACCTGATGAAATTAAGAATAGGATGCTTAGCTGACTGAGCCACCCAGGAGCCCCAAGCTATGGTTGCTGTTTTGGAGACCACATAATCTGACTTCAAGAAATTCCATCTAATTAAGAGTGATAACTTCAGTCAAAATAATGGTTATATTTTCTAGTATAATAATTATAATTTAAATAGGCAAGAGACTTGTAGGCCAACAATAAGAAATCATATGCAAATACCAATTGGATAAAATTTTAGAACTAAAAATAAAAATATAATACTAATAATGAACCTCCGAAATTCTTAGAATACATGACAGAGCCCTCTTTAATTTAGTTGGAATATCTAAGCTTTACTAATAAAAACCTATCAAAATTTCACAACTTTTATTTTTTTCTTTCTGTTTTCCCTTGAATATTATAATGGATATAATACCATCTATTATTTCTTTGAGTAGCCAGCTTAGGTTGGTAGATAAAACATGGAAATTTAGTAAGAGTAAATTCTGAGGATTTTTGGATTATCCTCAGCGATGTATGAGGAGGTAAGAAGTTAGGAACCTTAAGTACTGGAAGATACTGTCAGAATTGGAAAATACACTCAGGATGGCTAGGTGGCTCAGCTGGTTAAGCGTCTGCCTTTGGCTCAGGTCATGATCCCAGAGTCCTGGGATCAAGTCCCTCATCTGGGCTCCCTGCTCAACGGGGAGCCTGCTTCTCCCTTTGCCCACTGTTCCCCCTGCTTGTGCTCTCTCTCTCTCTCTCTCTCTGACAAATAAATAAATAAAATCTTAAAAAAAAAGAATTGGAATATATACATTTATGATTAAGGCAGAGGAAGAAAATTCTTCAAGAAAGGATTCAGGAACCCACGAATATTGGGAAAGAATATTTGGATCAGAGACCCAAAATATTAGGAAGATAGTAGACAATGAGATGAAGAAACACAGATGATAAATGCACATTAAAAATGGATCAAGTAGGACTAGAAAGAGATGGAGAGGAAATTATAAGAGGAAGGAGCACCACAACACTTATTAAGATGGACAATTCATAGTTTAGATAAATATGTAGATCGTAGAACTCTGTACAGTGTCATCTTACACCTGTAAACACTTGACCTGATGTGTACATCATGACCTGTTAGAGATTCAAATCTTCTGTTAATTTCAACTTGTTAACAGCATTTTCCAACAAAAGCCCTGAACTGAAATCAGTGTAAGTTATGTGAATTTAAGCTATGATAGTTCTTTTTTCTTTTCTTTTTTTTTTAAAGTAGGATCCATGCCTACTGTGGCACCGTGGGGCCCAATGCAGGGCTTGAATTCACAACCTGGAGATCAAGACCTGATGAAATTAAGAATAGGATGCTTAGCTGACTGAGCCACCCAGGAGCCCCAAGCTATGGTAATTCTTATTTAAAACCCAAATTAAAGGAAAAAACTAATTTTTGGCATTAAGTGCAGAGATCATAAATGAGGTGTTGCCAAGGCAAAGGGAATTAAATTCAGGAATAATCAATAATAAGAAAGCTAAAAATAAGATGTGAAACACTGAAACATGAGGGCACCAAGCCTAGTCTTTGAAAGCAACACCAATAAACCAACCAATTAACTGAACAAAATTCTTCCCTTTCCTCAGTAGTGATTGAAATTGGCTGCCCAAAAATGTGTTCCTTAGATCAAGAGAAAAAACATTATCTTGAGGAAAAATTACACTGCTTGTTATGGACTGAATATGTTTCCCCCAAATTCATATGTTGAAGCCTTAACCTCCAATGTGATGGTGTTTGAAGGTATGGCCTTTGGGAGGAAATTAGGATTAGATGAGGTCATCAGAGTGGGGCCCTAGTCTGATAAGATCAGTATCCTTATAAAAAGACACACCTAGAGAACTCTCTCTCTCCTTCCGTGTGTGTGTGTGTGTGTGTGTGTATACAGAAAAAAGAGGCCATGTGAGCACATAGCAAGATGGCAGCCACCTACAACCCAAAAGAAGAAGCTTCAGAAGCCTCACTGGCACCTTCATCTTGGACTTCCCAGCCTCCAGAAATGTGAGAAGCGAATTTCTGTTGTTTAATCCACCCAATCTATGGTATTTTGTTATGACACTCTGAGAAGAAAACATTGCTCAATTTGGTCAGACCCTGAAAATCCTGAGAAAGAGGCTATTCTTGGCAGACTGAGAGTGATGGTAATGTAGTGTAACTGAGATACTACCCTGAAGAAATAACATGACCAGGAAATTAACTCTAACACTGCTTGAATGTCAATTGTTTTTGAATTGAGAATACCGTTTCATCTAACCGTTTCTACTAATGCCTGGGGAGAACCCACTGAAGAGATTTCTAGGCTCATGACTTTCTTTAGTGACTAGTTGTGATTCTGAGTCAACAAATTCCTAGCAAGCAGGCACCGGAAAGAAATTAGGGGCAACATTTCATGAGAACACAGAAGGTGGCTCAGTCATACCTTCTCTTGGTTCTTATCATTCTTCTCATAAGGTCCACCTCCACCTCCTCCACCTCCTCCTCCATCACCTCCTCCACCTCCTCCATCTCCACCTCCTCCTTCTTCTCCTCCACCATCTCCAGCTCCACTAACCGAAGGGCCCCCGAATCCACAGGGTGAACTTCCTTTGAACTGGAAGGTCCCCTCACTGGCTCTTTTTTCCATAGTCTCATTTTCCTTGTTTTCACTCTTCTTTCTGTTCTTTTCTACACAAGGCACCACACCAAGTTGAAGCAAGCATTCAACAATGTTTAGTGCCACATCACAGATGCGAGAACTGATGTCATGATTCAGGACAAGATAAACAGCCTTCAGAACCACCTGGGGGTGGGGAGAAGACAAAGACGAACAGAGGGTGATTAATTTGCCTGAACTACCTCTTCCTACACAGATTTGGTTATTCTCTTTAATCCATTTCCTTTAGGCTGTTCTGTGTACTTAAGCATAAATAATTCAGGTAATTTTCAAGTGTGCCTATTTAAATTGCACTGGGACCTTGTGTATGTGCTTGACATAGAGTATAAGTCACCCAAAGACTTAAAATGTATGTGTGAAAGAAATGTATCTGTGTATTATCTCGCTTAAGTATTCTAAAACGTGCCATAATACAGACAGTTAATAGGGATACTGAAGAACAGTGAATTAATGGGACCATAATTTTTCATTCAAACGGAAACCTGTTCAACTGATTTTTTAAATCATAGTGCTTGACTCCTCTGCCTTTCACTGTCTGTCAATAATGGATAAAGAACAATGATTTCCATATCCACATAATAGAGGAACATTTAGGCATTCACAATTGTATCATTATTTACACTTCAATTTTAAATACAAAATATTTGCATGTTTAAATTATGTCCTTTCATTGATTTTAATATTTTAAATTATTTGCTGAACCCGTTTTCTACTGTGAAATAAAAAATTTTGTGAACTATAATTGTAAACTATAACAACCCTTTCATTTGCTAATAACTATAGTCAAGACAGGCGTTCTTGAGAAGGCAAGTTTAAATCTTTTAATGGGCTTCTATTCATTTTCCCTTGCTACCCAAGGAGGTTTGCAGTCATGTTGCTTATATAATGAAAGAAAATAAACTGAGAACTTTTTACCCTTATTCTAGAAAAAAGGGACTTAGCACATACACATTTATGTATATTTTATATATGCATATCCAGGATTTGCTAATGTTTTTGGATTATAAAAATATTCTGAGATCAGATCACATCTAATGTAATGCTTGAAAAAAAAATAAAAAGGGAAAGGTGCCTCTGTGATGGTTGACACATTCGTGAAATTTTTTATATGGGTAGCCTTTTCATTTTAAGGTTCAACATTGCTAAGAATCTATATGCCCATTTTATAGCAGTATAAACACTAGATCAAACAGTCATTATCTTCCAAGCTTTGGTAAGAGAAATTCTTGCTTCTTACCGAAAGATCTAGCATGCCATTCTTGTGGACAAAGTTATTGGTCCCATCAATATGTTCCGTGTCCTCTAAGTAGCTGTAGTTTATGCAGGAGTCTGTGAGGCTTCGGGGCAGGTTCGCACATGCCAGGGGTTCATGTGGCATCTCCGGGATAGGCACCTGGTTGCAGAGCTTCCTCATATGCTCACTGAAAAAGTCTGCGTAGCCTACGTTGAACGATGCCAGGGTAGTGTTGAAGGTTGCAACCGTGATTGTGGAGATCTGGGATCGCACTAATAAAAAGAAAGCAATGTCTTAATTTTCCCCATATTAGCTAGCGACTTCGTGTCAGACAGTTACACTCTCCTGACCACAATCACAGCTGAGGTGATGTTTGACCTGTAGTCTCAAAGTTATTCTCAATTCACACGGAATTGCCTCAAGCTTCAAGGCCAGGTAACATCTGGTAAATAATGAAGATTATAGAAGTTGTGAATTCCAACTGGCTTCCTTAAGACCCAGGCTAGAGTTTAACTTTAACAGGTGGATTTTACCCAGTCTTAAATGGCAGATCCTACTGATACAGTAGGATCTATGCATATTCAGGATTTGCTAATTATTTTAGCAACTGGTTTAGTTGAAGTATTTCCCCACTAGTTTGTGGCTGGTAAAATATTTGGTTTTATCTAGCATATTTAAGCAACAGCAAATAAGGAGGACTTTTTTTCTCCTTTGTTCAAGAGTAATGGAACATAAATTTGTGTTGGTAACTAACTGATATCATCAAATACTTGAAACATACTCCAGAGAAAAGAGAGCTTAGATTTCTACCCATAGGTTAAGAGTACAGAATAAGAGCCCATTTCAGATTCCACCCAGACACACATGTTTTCTCCACATAAAGCATATAAGGCACTTATTTGAAATAGCAGCTGTCTGAAAAAAGAATCCAGAGCCCTGGAAGGCAGTGACTTTCCTCCCATTGAAGGTGGAGAAGCCCTTTCAAGGGACATCATACAGGGGACCAAAGTACTGAATGTAACTGTCTTCCAAGTCTCTTCTAGCCCCGTGGGTCTATGACCTTTTGAAAACAAAGATGAATGGCTTGCTTCACCTCTGAGAGGGACGGTGTTTGCAGTGTGCCATCAGATAGCTTTTGCTACTAAGAAAATCCCAAGAATGGCTCACAAGTAAATTACCCAGCAATGTAATACATGAATGCAAGTTTTCAAAAAGTACAAGGAGCCAGATTGCAATGAAGATGGAACATGGAGTAGAAACAGGAAAAGGAACCTGAACTCCCGCCTGCAGGTGCAGCCTCCGACCCACCTTCCTTGACAGTGTTTTCTCCGTGGCTGTTGGAGTGATCTGGCAGGTCACTCACCAGGGTGTGGTGGGAGTGTGAGTGCCTGGCACTCAAGCTCTCCATCTCTGTGGCTGCATCTGAACTGCCCCGCCGGGTAAATTTCCCTGAGATGGACAAGAACACCACAAGGTTTAAAAATGAAAGAATCTCTGCTGAGATGTTGTCTTTCCAAAGGATGGCAGGGAGAGTAAAGGGTCATTAGGAAGTGCATGAGGCACAGCCAAGTAGCAGGCATTGGATTTATTCTCGGAATAGTCAGGGTCAAGATGATGGATGAAGCTGCCTGTTATAAGATCAGCCCCAATCTGGGGTGCCTGGGTGGCTCAGATGTTTAAGTGTCTGCCTTCGGCTCAGGTCATGATCCCAGGGTCCTGGGATTGAGCCTCATGTCAGGCTCCTGGCTCAGCGGGGAGCTTGCTTCTCCCTCTCCCTCTGCCTCTCTCCCTGCTCATGATCTCTCTCTCTGTATCTCTGTGTCTCAAATGAATAAATAAAATCTTAAAAAAAAAAAAAAGATCAGCCCCAATCTAAGCCAAATGTCAAAAACCATATATGGAATCCCAGTTAGCTGCCAGTTTCTTGATTTTAAGCTGGCTTTCTTAATATGCCATCCAGAAAGGAAAAAAAAAGCTTCTTTTTCTTTTCTTTACATCTTCCTTTTCTAATATTCAAATTAAAGTCTGCCTTTGGATTCACAATGAAAGCTAATGCACAAGATCATTTAAGGCCACATTTCCACATCTAGAGTCCTTAAGAAATAGGGCCATTACCTGCCTAATTACAGGGTTCTTTCATTTTTAATTAAATTATCTGCATTCCTTTGGTACTAGAAGCTAGCATCTGGGCCCACATTTCTTGACTAAACTGTTCAAGAAAGATGCAGATTTGCCCCGGAGCCCTAGATCCAGATTTCTAAACAGGTCACTCAAGTTCTGCCCTACTTTGAAAAGTCCTTGTTGTCACCTAAAATGGTGGTTTGCCAGCCTCCTTTTTCAATGCCTCGCCTGTCTTCTCCAAGCCCAGAGAAACTTCCGAAGGAGAATGTGCTTCTGGTGGGGGACACATCCAGGTGGTCCTCGTGAAGTAGGAATGGCACTCCCATTCTTCGAGGCCTCCTCTTCCCTGTGTGGTGGAATGGGATGGAGCCTTTCCTCTCTCGGTCTTCTTTGCGGCTCTTGAACTATGAGGATGAGAGGTAAAGGATTAGGCACAGGCCAAAGGAGAGGTGACATTCTACTTCCCAAAGGGCTCCATAATCTGCAGTAAAATACAGAAATGTTCCAGGAAGCAGAGACCCAGAAAGTCAATGAGTATCACTCAATAGAGATGGCTGAAGTTTCCATAATGCTTTAAAAGAGTGTAAGAAACAAAGCAAAAGGTAACATATTCCCTGGGTCCTTCTGCTGGGTTGGGTTGTCCCTGGACCAGCGGCATCGGTATCAACTGGGAAACTATTAGAAATACAAATTCTCAGGTTCAACCCCAGACATACTAGATCAGAAACCTAGAAGGTAAGGCCCAGCAGTATGTGTTTTAATAAGCCCTGTAGGTGATTCTGATAAATGCTAAAATTTGAGAATCATGGGCTAGAGTATAGGATCCTAGAGACTCTAGGTCACCCCTTGGACCAGCCAGTATTTTCTGTTCCATTTTTCCAGGATTGAGATCAATTTTTCCAGCCAGATGACTTCAAGTGTGTGCCACTGTCCATAAGGAGAGTCAAAAAAGATACAAAGCATGAATTGGTACAAACCCATTACTCCTACCAAACAAGCTCAAAATCCAGTAATAATAAGAGTTTAGAATTTTTTGGGAAGCTTTTAAAATATACCAATGTCTGGGCCTAACCTGCAGCAATTCTGACCTAATTGGTTTGGGTTCAGGCCTGGGCACATGAATTTTTTTATGGCTCCCCAGAGATTCTCACGTGTAGTCTGTACTGAAAACGTATTCCCCCCCAGATGATTGACATTTTTAAAAAAACTACAGCCCTTGCCTATCATTACATTAGCAATGAAGGTAGACATGACTGCTTGCATAGCAACACTCTGAGCTCATAGATAAGTTAACAATATGTTCTGTGTCCTTCATGAACACAATTGAACTCATCATTTTGAAAAACAGAAAATGAAGCTACTACACATACATTATTCTACACATATTATTTCCTAGCTGGTTTGCTCCATGTATTTACAAAAAGAGAGGTGGAATGGTGGATTCATAAAAGCATGAACTAGCTTGAACAAGACCTAGTTTTGAGTTTGGACTCAACCTTTCACAAACTACCAAAATTTCTAAGGCTCAGCTCCTTTCTTTTTTGAGAATAATTAACATTTATTGAATACTTACTAAGTGCCAGGCACAGTAAGGACTTTACAGGCATTATCTCACTTAATCCTCATAACCTTTTGAAGTAAGTATATTATGTACCCAATTTACAAATGAAGAAACTGATACCTAGTATCATTTGACCAGGATCGCAGAGGTTACAAGTGGCAGGGCAAGAATTTGAACCCTGATTAGGTGACTCCTAAGTGCACACTCGACTCCACCTTTAATTTCTCATCTTTAGAGTTCTAGTGGATGCATAATAAATGTTTATTGAATGGAAACCTATGCTAAGACCTATAACAAGTTGTGAGGGTAGGACATCTAGTGATTTGTTATAAGGATTTACTACTTTATTTACAGAGTTTTGTTTGTTTTGTTGTATTTAAATTGGAGATGACTTCAAGAATAAATATTCCATGATGATCCCATCATTCTGAGTAAGACTTTAGTAAGACTCAGTTTCTTAGGTGCAAAATGTGGAAATTTAGGATCTCATTGAATTAAATGAGAACCCTTTATATAAAATGCTTGATAAGATGAAATGAACCATACGAATATAAGTCGCTATCACAGCTACCACAACCACCTCCACTACCACACTACTGAAAACACTCTACCCACACCATCAGGATGGAGCTTGGTAACATTGAGAATGGGAAACATTCAGGTGCACAGAGGGACTCGCACAAGGTCATGCTGCAAGCCGGTGCTATCAGTGGGGGCTGACCTCTCTCCTCAAGGTTCCTTTCCCAACCCACCCCTTTCTGCAGCATGACCTCATGTCCTACCCCTTTCTGCAGCATGACCTCATGTCCTACCCCTTTCTGCAGCATGACCTCATGTCCTACTGATTTTTTTCAATTACCAAAATATTAAAGAGCACAGGTGGTTCTACTCACCTTCTTAAAAATGTTCATGCCAAGGTCTGAAGAAAGATCTGGGACTGCAGACCTACGTAAATTGGTCAACGAAACCTTAGAAAAGGCCTCAGGGCTAAGAGATTTTTCCTCTTCATTACACTTCATGGTGAGATCCTTAATAGACAATAAAAGTAGACTTCACAATCAAGGACTTAAGGCTTTATATCCAAAGACTTTGCTTATTGAGATGTCACATTTTTAATAGAGATGTGTAATGTTTTGATATCTATGAAGTATTTAACTTGTGGGTCTCGACTTTTAAAATCCATATCCTGCTATGGAAGAGATACATTATATATTAACTGTAACCCCTGTCTGGGGTTTTTAACAATGAGAACGTGAAGCTCCATATTTGGGAAAGCTAAGAAATGAGGGAGGAGACAGGTATCTCATCTTCTCTTTTCATTAAAAAAAGTTTTTCTGTTTAATGGTTCACCAAAGGAGATTTTTATTTTGGGCAGAATCATCTACTACTAAAACAGAGTATCTCTCCTTTTCGCTCTAATATTGCTCATGTTTATTTTCAGAATATGTAGACTTTTTCAGACATAGCCAATTCATATTTAAGTAAACCAAACAACTGGAACATACTGCAAAGCACAGTTTTTTCTCTACATATCCAGCACACATGGTATCAATGAGAAAGAGGGAAAGAAAAAGTGTTCAAGCTGATATTAGCACATTCATTTATCAAAAAGTGATCTTCAGGGGGATGTCATCAAATTGGTATACAGTCAGTTTATTTTTCCAAACATCTGTAATAAATAGCAAGACTATATATCCAAAGGCAATATTTCTAATTACGATCCTGAGGTGCTAAAAAATTTTGAGCTATGCAAAAGAAGGTAAACCATATTCAGTAAAATTCTAGTGTCACACATTTCATGATATCAGTAATTAACAGTTGTATGTGAGAACTATCTATTAACTAGCACTTCAACTGGGAAATTTTCCATTATTTTGGATCAACAGAGTCTTAACTCTAGATTAGTGTGAGTAAGAGGTATTTAGATACCCTTCTTTGAAGGGTAAATTAGATCCTAAGAAAGAAGCAAAAGGGTCTAGCAATAAAAGATAGAAAAGAAAGGATAATAGTATCAGAGTAATCCACCAGTCTGGAATAAAGAGATGGATGCATAGGAGAAAGAGAGAATCTGTTATGGCCAAAGTTGGTGATTCAAAAGACAATGGACTGAGTTTCTCTTACTTGGGTCTTGTGGGTGTTCACTAGTGAGGGAGCTGCTGCCACCATCGAGCTGCTCCTGGGTCTGGGCAGGAGAGGAATATCTGGCTCTGGAGGCTTTTCAGGCTTCTCTTCCAACATGTGCCGCAGCCTTTGTAGATAGTACATCAGAGACCACTGAGTGCCTTCTTCAGACCAATGGGGTTGGAGTAGGCAGCGAAGAACAGCAACGTCAAAGTAGGTGGCATAGCGGGACCTTTGGCATGGAGGTATCACAAGAGAGGCTCTGTTTCCAGTGACAGAAAGAAGATGATTTTATTGGCAAACATTCCAAGGGGTGACACAATATGGCTTGTAGCTCTGCTTTTCTCCTTTGCTTACTTATTCATCCACTTATCTTTTGTGTAGTTTACTCTACTATTCTCCCAACTGGTCTCACTCATTTCACTTTTGCTAGATACTTCCTGGAAGTAGAGAGGTTAGAAAGAGTTTTAAAGGATAGGTAGGAATCAGCTAGGCAAAGTTGAGGATGGGGCAGGAGGGTACATCAGCATTTCAGTCAGAGGAAACCATGTCTACAAAGGTGGAGTTAGAAAACAAAATCATGAGTTTTGGGAAGGTGGGGGAGAGTAAGCAATTGCTGTTAGCTGGTGAGTAATTTGGGTGGTGGGCGATGAGGAGAGTCTATAGAAATAGATGAGCTTCAGATTGTGATGTTCCTTTTATACAATGCTATCAGTTTTTTTTTTACCTTGATAGAAATGGGAGTATTTGTATATATTATTGGCTATTTTAATCTATTATTGGTGATTCTTTTTTTTTTTTTTTTAAAGATTTTATTTATTTGACAGAGAGAGATACAGCGAGAGAGGGAACACAAGCAGCGGGAGTGGGAGAGGGAGAAGCAGGCTTCCCGCGGAGCAGGGAGCCCGATGCAGGGCTCGATCCCAGGACCCTGGGATCATGACCTGAGCCGAAGGCAGATGCTTAATGACTGAGCCACCCAGGCGCCCCTATTATTGGTGATTCTAATATATAAAAGAACCAAAGAAACCGCAAAGTACTAAACAAGCAAAAGTTAGGTTATGAAGAAAATTTTCAAAATTTTGAAATCATTTTGAAAACTCTATAGCTGTATATTCATATAAAATAGCATAACTAATTTAAAAAAATCTCAAGGTTCTGAAATGTATTATTCAATTTAAACACATGATATAGTCATTATTTAGTGTTCAACTTAATTACACTACAACATAGGTTTATGCAATTACTAAATATAATATATCATCCTAGGTATCTTAGGGAATGTGAAGATATATAAGTTTAACTTCTTCATATTGAGTAACATATGGTCCAATGAATGACAGCCAATAAACAACAAATTATAAACTGAGAGCTCCTAGGATCCAAAATGAAACCTTACATCTAAAATCTAAACTTAACTCCCAAACACAGTTTCTTCCTGAGTTAGGTGATGCAAAAGGGAAATTTTTGTACCCTGCTATGAACTAGCAAATGGCACAACCCACACATGGAGAACTTCAGCAAAAAAAAAAAAAAAAAAAAAAAAAAAAATGCAGTTACTAAGAAGTGAAGTTTTCCTGAACTTCCCAGACCCATATTTTTTTTAACTGAAGGTTATGGATCATTATTGTTTCAAGAAATTAATTCAAAAGTATATGACTACTATTGAAATGTTAACTAGAATAAAAACTATCAGAATGCAACAAATAGAATAAGGATTTGTATGCTTGATGAAACTTATTTCACCTCATGCATTGTCATTAGTCATGACATAAAATAGATTTCTTACCATGAGTCGCAGTAAAAAGTTTAAATATGCAAATCCAGACCATGTCTGGGTCTAATCTTGAGTATTTTGATTGACAAGTAGGAAACTACATAGAAGTTAAAACACAACCACATAAGGTGCTGCAATACTAATTATTTAACTGAGTTGGCAGTCATACAAGAAGTTTTCTACAATCAGCGAAGTTCCCATATATGTATGTTATGCTAGAACTTACCCTTTTTCCAGGGACCTAGGATACTCTTTGAATATCAACTGCATGTCAACTTTCAATCCTTCAGAAAGTCCCATAGAGTCTCCTCCCAACCACTTCTCATCCGGTCCATAGACTCCAACATCTTGCGTTAGGCTTATTGTAATTACTTCCGACTAGTCTCATTGCTTCTTCTCTGGTTCCTCCTCTCCTCTCCTCAAACCCTTCCAATGGATTGTTAAATCATCCTTAAAATAAAATGCGAGCTTCTCATAGTAGTCAACATGACCTGCATTATCTGGCTGTGCATACCAATCCAACCTCATTACCATGATTGCCCTGGCAATCATGTATTTATATATATAAAACAAGTATTTATTTGCTGCCTCTTAGCTCCAAATGCATCTTTCTTCTTGCTCTGTGAAAATGGACCAGGGACCTTTAAATATTTTTCCATTGATTTCTGGCATGATGTTTAGCTTGGTCAGTAGATGAAATGGAAAAGGTATTGCAGGAAGAAAGAATTTTGCTTTCTTGCCCTGGTGTACTTGCTCAGCACATTCCTACAATGCATGTACAGCTTCTCCAGTACCAGGCTCCTGTAGTGTTTGTGGGTTGTCTAGGGCTTAGCTCCTGCAGTGCACGTGGCTTCTGCCGAATGGGCATTTTTTCTAGAACCAGGCTTTCGCAGCACTCACAGCTTTCCCTTTGCTCAGCTCCCATAGTGCCTAGTACCCGGCAGCACCCGGCAGCCAACAGCCCCCCGGCACTTCCCTTTGGAAGTTTTGTAGCAGAGGGCCCCTACCAAGACACCTCCCCATGAATAGCTTTCCCTAGTACCCGAGAGGGTTGGATTTCTGACAAGTTCCAAAGGGCAGATTTCCAGCAAGTTCTCCTGGTGCAGCACCACGGTGATCTCTCTGCCATCCATTGAGGCATAACTTCACCCTCTCCAACAGGGTCATAATCTCAATCCTGGGGAGAAAGGGGTCTCCCCTGGGTGTTTTGTCCGACCCCTAAAGTTGGAGATTGCTCCATTATATCTGCTATTCTTATATTCTTTAGAGTTCTCTTTACTTCTTATTAGCCAGTCCCTTACTACTCCAATACTCTAATCCTGTTATACTTAATTCCCTATATTAAACTTGCCCTGTTCAAATTACTATTTGGTTTCTCTCTCCTGATTGGACCAGTCCTGACACATCTGGTTGTTGTGCTTCAGCCACATTGGCTTTCTTACTACTCTTGACTACATCAAGCTTATGCTAGCTTCAGAGCTTTTTTTCTATGTGGAAATGTCTACCCTTGAGGCCTAGGCTTTATCTAGGCTCTGTTCCAATGTCATCCCCTCAGAGAGGTCTTCCTCAAACACTGTGTAGAGTGGCCTCCCTCCACCACTACCCATCTCTTCACCCTGTTCTAATTTTCTCCACAGCATGTAGCATAACTTGAGATTATATCATTTACTTGATTAGTGCCTATCTCCATTTATTTGAATGAATTAAAAAATTTCAGAAGTGGATTCAAGACAAAGATGGAGAAATCAAAGTCTTTTGTACGTACAAGCAATATGCATTTTGACAATGGAAAGAAAAAAGAGCTCATTAGAAGTAACAGCAAATAGGTAAATGCCGTGGGTTGGGGAGCAAAATGATGAGGAATAAAATCGACAATATAACTTAGTATGTTCAAATGTAAATAACACTTGACCCAACAAGGTGAAGATAAACATCTATTCCAAAAATTAGGGGAAAGAAATGTCAATTTAACCTCAACTGGTATCAGCGATAGGTAGGAAATATCTAACTTTCAACATAGATTGGATCACTGTTCTATATGACTTGAAAGAATGACCACTATCAGGGTAAACTAGGAAAGACCACGCAGGCACAGGTTAGCCTTAAACATCACCCTCCTATTACAACAGAATGATAATACAGGAAATTGGGGATACTTGGGGACCACCACAAACAATACTATAAAACATTTTTAAAAAATCTTAATAAACAGACAAACTAACTTTTGGTTTTTTTTGGAGAGGGAGTTGGGGGACAGGGAGAGGGAGAGGTAGACTCCCCACTGAGCATGGAGTCCAATGTAGGGCTCAATCCCACAACCCTGACATCATGACCTGAGCCAAATTCAGGAGTTGGATGCTTAACTGACTGAGCCACCCGGGTGCCCCAAACTGTTATTAGAGTGAATTCTTGATATTTTAAAGATTTCCATCACTCCCTCTCCCAGTAATCTGTAAGTTTAATGTAATTCTCTTTTGTGTTCTGAACCCAATTTCAACATGTATGTGTTGGGCGGGGGGCTTCCACACCATAAAAAATTTTCCTAGACACCAACTGGGTCCGTTCTCTGTCAACTGAATTCTGATACCTATCTACCCAGAGATAGCATCACATTAAGGGTTCGGTCCTGCAAGACTACTCTCCCTCCTACTTTAGACACCAGGTTGTCACCTGTGCTTCTAATCAACTGGCCATAGACTAGAGAGGTTCCCATGACTGCTTCCCACCCCACCCCACCCTTGAACTTCAGATTCTAGTTGCAAGTCCAGGTTGTTATCTGTACTTTGTAATGACAGGTCCTAAATCAGAAGTTCCCATGATCCCCTCCTTGAATTCAATTAATTTTCTAGAGTGGCTCACAGAACTCAGGAAACCTGTTTATTCACTAGATTATTGATTTATTATAAAAGGATACAACTCAGGCACAACCAGACAGAGGAAATGCTTAGGGCAAGGTATGGGGAAGGGGCATGGACTTCCTTGTCCTCTCCCAGCACCTCCCCATGTTTACCAACCCAGAAGCTCTCTGAACTCTACCCTTTCTGGCATCTTTTGAAGGCTTTATTACATAGGCATAATTGACTAAATCATTAGCCATTGGCAATTGATTCAAACTCCAGCCCTTCCTGGAGATCCGGTGCAGGACTTAAAGTTTTAACCCTCTAGTCACATGGTTGGTTCTCCTGGCAATCAGCTTCTAGTCTTAAGTGCAGTCCACATGTCACCTCATTAACAACAAAAGTCACCTTTGTTGCTTTCATCATTCAGGAAATAGGAGCTTACTGACAGAAACGGAGTAAGGCCCAATATATATTTCTTATTATAAATCATAGCATCACAAATTCTGAACAAAATTCCAAAGGGATTTATCTTTTATAAATCAATGAGACTGTTCTGAAATTTAACTGGATGAATGAATAAAACTTTGAGTGTAATCAAGAGAGATTTAAAAGGAAGTGTAAAACGGTGTAAATTGTCCAATGCTA